AGCAAGGTATCATTTATACAGCAAACACCTGAGCATCAGAGGACGGTTTCTAACTACAGAAACACCCACAGTGCACACTGAAAAACCAATTACACGTTTGTACAACAGTGTCTCCCACGAATCAGACCAAGCATTACTCACAAGGTTCCTTTCACTTCTTTTTCTTTCTTCAAAGCAAATTTTTAGCCCAGACTCTACTAGGTATTTTTTAAAATAGAAACACAGACCCAAAAGGTTTAATGAGGCTCACTCCTGTTGCTGTGGTTTCCTTTCCCAAGTCTAGGCAGCCCAGCCAGGGCTCACGTTTGTTGCTGTGATCTTGCTCCTTCTGTCCTAAGCCCATCCTTTGTCTCACTGTCCCCAGCTTCAATAAACACTCTCAAAAGCCCCTGGACTCTGTGTTGAATTCTTTCCCACACAAAGTCCAGAACTCACACATCCCGGACGGTGAGGGGGCAGACCTGCCTCCCCCGGTCCCTCTCCCATGACAAGGCTTGTTCTCTCTAAGGCAGGAAATCCCTGTCTCCTGCCCCCAGGAGCCCATTAGAATATTCAGCAGTCCAACTTTTTGGTAGGTTTTTATCTTTTATAAAAAGTGTAATCGGGGGTTTCCAATAATTTATTGTCAAGGGCAGAATGAGGGGCTGCGGATGGCAGTTGAATGCCAGGCATTGCCTCTGAAAAGGGGGTGGGGGGTGGGCTGCAGAAACCACGTTAGTGCCACCTGTCACTACTAGAACCAGTAAGTAGAGACAAGGATTAAATCTTTATGGGCACTTTATTCAGATGCCAGGGATCTGAGAAGACAGCAGGTTATGTATGCCCAAAATTGTCTTAACATTTCATCTCCAGTTATAAAGAAGAAGAAAAGGGTAGGCATGGGGTTTGGAAAAAAAGGTTAATCAGATAAGAGTTGCCGTCAAGGACAATTTTCCTAGTTTTTATCTGCCGGTCAATTCTTTATCTTTCTGACTTTCCCTCCCTGGAACACAATGGCTCAGATAACATCTCCCTCACTTGCAGACCCCCCAACCCCACCCCCACCCCCTACCAAAGGCAGAATTGCTTGTGACTAGTTCCTGGAAAATCAGCTTTCCACCCGCATTATTCACCTAAGTCTATCAAGGAGAACTACAGCTAAAACCTCTAGCTCTTAAATTCCTCCATCACTTCCACGGCACAAGCCGTGCCTGGAGACAGAAGGTGTGGTGGGAAGTCACTTGACAAGGGTCCCAGGCAAGCCTCCCACGAGTGAAAGACAGGAAGACTGAGCCCAAAGGTGGCAAAAGCGGCTCAAGGTCACACCGCTTCAAACTGGTGGAGCTCAGGGGGCTTAGTGACTCAAGCACTTTCCGCAGGGAGCCACCGGGTTGGGGCCGCAGGATTCTCAAGCCGCCCCCACAGTCGCATGCTGGCGCCCGACGAGGCCGCCGCACTGCAAAACCCAGCTAGGAGATAAACTGTGCAGAGGAAGCAAGCTGAGAGGGCAGAAGCTGGGAACACATGCTTGCGAGTAGCTTGGAAATCTCGTGAGCTCTAGACTGTAGAGTCACGCCCCTGTGGTTGCGTGGGCGGGACGGCAGGGTAAGGGGCGTAGACAATGCGAGACCCTCCTAGGCGCTTCCGCGGAGGGGCGGGGCGAGCCTCGTTTTGGCGGACGCAGAAAGCTGGGTGCGACCTGCCCAGAACTGTCGTAAAAGGGGGCGGGACGCTCCGCGCTCGGGAGGGACGTAGCGGTGGGGTTCTTTGCTCTGCTCTGCGACTTGTGAGGTGAAAGGTTGAAGGGGATATGGATCGCTACGCGGGGGCCTTCGAGGAGGCGGTGGATGGGACTCGGCAGCAGGAGCGGCACTATCAGCTCCTCTCTGCGCTGCAGAGCCTGGTCAAGGAGCTGCCCAGGTACGCGGCCGCGGCGCGGCGGGTGAGGCCGCTCCAGGTCCTGCCCGAGCTCACCGCGCCCCCCTGCCCGCAGCTCTTTCCAACAGCGCCTGTCCTACACCACGCTCAGCGACCTGGCCCTGGCGCTCCTCGACGGCACCGTGTTCGAGATCGTTCAGGGGCTACTGGAGATCCAACACCTCACCGAGAAGAGCCTATACAACCAGCGCCTGCGGCTGCAGAACGAGCACCGAGGTGCGCGGGGCGGGGTAGGGGGGCGGTGGGACGACGCACGCTCCTCCTGCGGGAGGTCAGCCTGGTAGCTCTCGGTCTCTGAGAGCCGAGCCCTTCCCTGGGTGTCGTTCGAAAGAAGTTCTTAAAATTGACCAGATCAAGGGCGCGGAGGCTTTGCTAGGGCTTTTTTGGTGACAAATGGGCCAAGCCAGCTTCATTTTCTCAGTTGCACTGATCTCCTTTTAGCATAACACTTGCAACTTCTTCCTCGGGCTTTTCCGTGCTCCCACCCCGATCCAGGCAGGATGGCCAAACACTGGAGCAGATCCTGGTGGCGACGGTCCGCCTAGCACTTGGCCGCCTCCAAGGATGCCCTGAAGTGTTGACAGCTGTGTAGCGCCCTTTCTGGTCAGCTTCCTCTCCTGTGGTGCAGAACCCCCCACCAGCTGTACATCGGATTCCCGTGCTCTGTGTCCTGTGGCACCCTTTGGGACCCCAAAACTTAGCCACACGGTGGGCCAAAGCCCCGTGAGTCTCGGCCTCTCCCAGGCATCCTCACTGGGCACGGGGTGTGGGGGGTGCTCCCAAGCCCCTTCCTGCAAGGTATTCTGGGCAGCATTCCCTGCCCCATCAGATTTCCCACTTTTATTATTTTATCGTTCCTCGTCTTATTTGTAAAAAACTTAAAACATCTAGAAACACTGAAACAATAGTATAATGAACACCCATATGTGCTCCAGCCAGATTCAATAATTAACATTCTGCCAAAGTTCTTTATACCCCTAAATCTCTGCAGCATCGTAGGGCCTCACCAGGAGTGGTCAGAATTCCTCTAGACCACGCTTTTCAACCACAGCACTGACGATGTTTGTGGCTAGACAACTGTTAGTGGTGAGACTGTGTCCTGTGCATAGCAGGACGTGTAGAAGCATCCCTGGCTTCCACCAGTAGATGACAGGCCCTCGCTCTGCGAGTCATGACAACCAGAAATGTCTTCAGACCTCTTTGGGGGTCAGCCTTAGCCCAGGATTGAGAGCCAGTGGTCCAGGACAGTAACACTGTCCTGTGTGACCACAGTGGGTAGCCTCCTGAGAAACTAATCATTCACAGGTGTCTTCCGACCTTCAGTCCATAGTCACGTGACCCCACTTGTCTCAGATCGTCTGTTTGTAAGGGTTTAGTGTAGGTTGTGCATTGCCATTGGTTACTTTGGTCTCTCGGCTTCTGGAACCGTCCCCAGCATTTATTGCAGCATTGACTTTTTCAAGACTCCAGGGCCTTCCACCTGCAGCATGTCCCCCCGCTGGCTCTGTCATATTGCTGCTTCAGGCTGGCATTTAACCTGTCTCTCTGCCCTCTGTGTGTCCTGTGAAGAGAACAGCAGGTAGGGCCTGGTGGTATGCAGGGTAAATGTTCCTGGCCAGAAATTCTTTTAGTGATGCAAGGCAACTCTAGGGGGACAGGTGATGTACATCTGCCCCAGGATTCCTGTGTTTCTATCAGAAGTGGGTGATGGTTTCATCAGATTCTTATTATGCATCTATTGAGGTGATCAGTAGTTTTTTGGTTGCTATGGTGAGTTGCACTGAGTTTTTAATTTCTGGGCTAAACTATATTCCTGGAATAAATCCTGCTTGGTCATGATGTATATCCTTTTCGTCTATATTGGACGGGATTTGCTAAATTCTCAAGAATTTTCACCTCTGTCCATGGTGGACATTACTCTGTACTTCTTCTGGGGTCTGTCTGGTGTCAGGGGCTGCTAGCTTCGTGGGATGGGCTGCGAAGTGTCCTCTCCAGTTTTCCAGAAGCGTTTATGTAGGATCGGTGTTACCTCTTCCACATGTGCGTGGCTGTCTTTGTAAACGTTTCTGTTGGGGCACAAGATGCGTGCGTTCACAGATACAGATCCAAAATACAGTTTATTTTTGTCATTTTTTAATCCTCACCCAAGGATATGTCTATTATTATTATTATTTCTTTTTAATTTAGCAAGAGGGCCCTGGCTGGCGTAGCTCAGTAGATTGAGCACAGGCTGCGAACCAAAGCATCGCAGGTTCGATTCCCAGTCAGGGCACATGCTTGGGTTGTGGGCCAGGTCCACAGTGGGGGCCACATGAGAGGCAACCACATATTGATGTTTCTCTCTCTTTCTCCTTCCCTTCACCTCTCTAAGAAAATAAATAAAATATTTTTTAAAAAATTAAAAAAAAATTTAGCAAGAGGAAGGGGGAAAAATAGAAACATTGATCAGTTGCTTCCCGTCCGCTTCCCGACCGGGAATAGAGCCCGCATGCTCGGTATGTGCCCTGACCACTAGCCCGCAGCCTCTGTGGTGTGCGGGTCAGTGCTGCAGTCAGCTGAGCCAGCCAGCCAGGGATCATTAATCTTTTTAATGCTCAAATCGTGCCACATGTGGCCAGTGGAGGAACTTCAGCCTGGCTTCCGAGTCTTTTTTGATGTGTCCCCATCACTCTTTGAGTGCTTCCTTGCTTTCTGGTAGGGGAAGGTGTTCAGGCTCATCTTGTCTTTCCCTGCCTCGGCCCCTCTTCTGGTCAGCCCGCCTCCGGCGTCCCCCAGCTGACCAGCCTCCCATTGGGATGGACCTTCCCCTTGGGCCACCATGAAGCATTTCCACTCCTCCCTCCTTTGGCCGAGTCTCTGCCAAATGCAGGCCGCGGTGGCGGCTCACTCTTGCTGTCAGTAAGTTGTGCTTGCTCTGGTTTTGGTGATATTTGTTTACCTCCACAGAGGTTAGTCGTTGGGGGAGCAAGTAGAGCACTCAATAATAATAATTGTGAAAGGGAAGCCCCCCATTTCTCCATAGAGCTTTGGTTCTTTTTTTTATAAATTGTACTTCATTGTATTTATGTATGTATGTATGTATTAAAGACACGGAGTGCTTCACGAATTCGTGTGCCATCCTTGTGCAAGAGCCATGCTGATCTCTGTAGCATTGCAGTTTTAGTGTACGTGCTGCTTGGGCGAGCCTGGGGCTCGGTTCCGCTCAGTGGAGATTTTTAGATAACTCTCTAGCCCCTTTGCTGCGCGTCCTTCAGAAGAGTTCGGTGCTGCCAACAGTGGGCGTGTGCTTGTGTTAATGGTACGGTTTAGTGGGGCTCAAGGGGCTTTGCTTGCTGGCCCAGGTGAGGCCCTGTCCCGGCAACACAGACTGCCCAGCTCATCCCGGCCTGGGGCTTCCCAGGTCCGGGCCCACCCTACTCCCTCTGGGGGCTGTGTGGGGTGGGGGCTCTGCCCACCTGAAGGGTGCTGCTAAGTAGGGAGCAGCAGTGCCACACTCCCTTGGGCAGTGACCCCTCTCCTCACCCTCCTATCCCTTCACCTGGGTGGTCTTCTAGACATTTCCGTGGATGTCCCATGGATGATGCACAGGTCGCACCCAGGACCACTAGCCAGTGGCCATGTGAACCCAGAAGGCTCCAGACCAAAGTCTCCCACCCCACTGGTCTCAAGTCCAGGCTACAGCCCCGGCCCTGCCCCCATGCCACTGCCCTGCCTCACCTCCTCTCATGCCCCAGGACCCGTCCTGGGTCCCCTGGAGCCCCACTGCTGGAGAAAGGCCCTGCCATGGGTGAGGGCGAGGCTGAGGGGGCCGGGTGGCTGGGAGTCCTCCGGAGCACCACCCAGCTTCTGGTGCAGGACTTCGGGTGGGCTGGGCCATCAGTTGGGGCCTCATGTCTATGCCTTTGGCCTGGCTGCCCTGGGCCTCAACCCAGTGCCAAGGTGGGGCAGGTGCTGAGATGGGAGGTGTTCCCGGGCCCCTCCATCTCGTCCCTGCTGCCTCCTGATGGACTCTCTGGTCTTGTTCCCACCCAGTGCTCAGGCAAGCCCTGCGCCAGAAGCACCAGGAAGCCCAGCAGGCCTGCCGGCCCCACAACTTGCCCATGCTGCAGGCAGCTCAGCAGCGCGAGCAGGAGGTAGGGGTGCAGGCTCTGCCGACAAGCATGGTGGAGGGGCTCGGGGTGGCTTGGGGGCTGCTGGAGTTCCAGTGAGTCCTTGCATGTAGCTTTTCACCTGGGGTGTTGGGGTGTGCCAGGACTGGGCAGAGACAGTGCATTCCCCTCCAGGTGTTCCCCGAGACTGCAGCTCTTGGTGGCCCGGGCCTGTGCAGGGCAGGTGCTGAGTAGCAACCATTGTGCACATGGCCCTGGAGGTGCAAGGGCAATGGTGAGGTGACAGGGACAGTCAGCAGGGGCCCATCCTGCTCAGGGACAGCCAGGAAGCCTCCGTGAAACCCAGAAGCCACAGGTGGTGGGGGTGCATGTGGAGACGTGTGCAGGGCCCGAGGCAGCTGTAAGGCTGGGTGTGCAGGGAGGAGGGGCCAAGTTGGAGTCTGGGGTGACCCCAGTGGGGAAGCAGTGCACACAAAGGCCGTGGGGTGGTGGCCAGGTCACTAGTGAGCAGGGGTGGCACGGGCGACTGGCCAGTTCATGGCGGTCCTGAGCTGTTGGCACTGGGCAAGGCCTGGCACGCCAAGGGAGGACACCGGGCAGGAGATCCTAGAGGAAGAGCCTGCGGGGGGGGGGGGGCAGGGTAGGCAGCCAGGCCCCTCTGGAGGGTTTGCTGTGGCCCAAGGTGTTATCTGTGGGCAGTAAGGGTGCCATCAGTGGTCTTGGAGCCTGAGCTTTTGGGAGGGTGGGAGGTGGCTGGCTGGGATCCTGTATCTGGGGCATTGATGGGTCGGGCCGAGCCCCCGAGCTATACCCCTGAGCAGCCCTCACCGTGGCAGGCAATGGAGCACCGGATCCGGGAGGAGCAGCGGGCAATGGACCAGAAGATCATCCTGGAGCTAGACCGGAAGGTGGCGGACCAGCAGAGCACACTGGAGAAGGCGGGGGTCGCTGGCTTCTATGTGACCACCAACCCACAGGTCAGCACCCTGGGCTTGTCTGGGCACAGCCCAGAGGATGCTAATCCCCAAAGGCCAGATTCCATCTGGGGTTTGGGGCTGGTTGCCTGGGCACGGTATGGGGGTAGGTCTCGCGGGGAGAGGGCTTAGGCTGCAAGAAGGGTTTCTGTGCTGTGTTCAGTGCATAGGCCGGTGGAGTTGCCTCTGCCCACAGGCGGGCAAGCTGCCGGGGAGGTGCTCACTGACCCCTGCTCCGACACGCACTGCAGGGCCCTCTGCTGCTGCTCCCTGCATATGTCTCTGTGCATCAGCCCCAGGCAGCTGTGGGCCCTGCTGCGTGGTGGAATCCCAGCCCCTGGCAGGCTGTGGCCAGGCTTCACTGGAGTCAGCCCTCTGGGCTCATTGCCTGGCACACCCTAGGCCCTGACACCTGCCTCCGGGCCCCTAGGAAAGGAGGCTTCTGCCTGGAGCCTTTGCCCCAGGTGGGACCGGGTGTCATGGCCTCACAGTGGCCCCTCTGCATCCCAGGAGCTGACCCTACAGATGAACCTGTTGGAACTCATCCGGAAGCTGCAGCAAAGGGGCTGCCAGGCGGGGAAGGCAGCCCTGTGACCAGGTGGAGTCCCTGCCAGTTGCCTACTGCCCATCCTGGCTGGGAAGGCAACCCTGTCCCACTGTTCCCACAAGTAGCAGAAAGCTAAGGAATTTGTCTTCCTGACGTGTGGCCACTACCTTCCCAGGTGCCTGCAGCAGGGGTCATATACCCTCTAAGGGCAGGCAGGGTGGGCCCTGACTGTGTCTGCCACCCACCTTTGTCTGGGTTTTCTTGTCAGCTAGAGCTGTGTGGTAGAAGGCGGGCAGGCCCAGCCTACTGGCTCTCTGCCCTGGGGCTGGGCACAGGGTGCAGCTGGAGGTGCTGGCGCCTTCCCTTCCACCAGGCACACCTTGATCTCTGCCATGCCCTGGGCTTTGTGCCTGTTCTGGTCTTGGCCCCGCCCTGGGTGTGTGCGGCCCCCCGAGTGGGAGAGGCCCCACCACCCAAACCCTGTGTGACCCAGGGAAATAAAGGTGCCTCGGTACGGCCTGCATGTGGCTCATGTGACAGCTCTGTGGTGCCTGTCATGACCAGGGCCCTGCCACAGTCCTCACCCAGTGGCTCTGGGGCCTACAGAAGGCCTGGCTAAGGATGCCTCCACAGAGGCCCCTCCCCGGGACTTCCCTCGCAGCCCAGGTCCCGCCTACCACCTTTCCCCTGGCACTGGGGCCACTTGAGTCTGCTCCATGGGGCTGAAGGGATGGGGGTTTCGGGGGGCAGCCATGGGCCTGCTCCTATCAGAGCAGCAAAAGTCTGCTGTGGGCCATGGGCTCAAGGCAGCAGGAAGGGTGCAGGAGGGAGAGACCCAGGATGGGGCAGCACCCACCCCGGGAACATCCTATCTGCCTTGGTCCAAGTCTGGCCCTGCTGTTATCTGGGTGGGCGGGGGGTCCAGCACCCTGCATGGCAGGAACTGCGGTACTGTCCGGAGGGAGGCATGGGCCGGGCCCCCAGGGGCACAGGGTTCAGAAGAGGCAGAGACTGAGGTGAGATTTCTCAGGCCTTGGGGGCCACCCCCACACCCGCCCCCCACGGAAAGGGCTTTGAGGCTCTTAATTGCAGAAATAGTGGTTTATTGGTCAGCCCACCTTCTTCAGCATGGCCACCCTCCACCTGGGGGGGCTTTAGCTCTGTGGGTTAGACCTTGCTGGGAGGCGGGCTTTGGGTCAGAAAGGCAGACAGAGACGGGGCAGTTCCCACTCAAAGGGTGGTTCCTGGCCGTCTCTGGCTGTGGCAGGTATCAGAGCCGGCCTACACCTGAGTGCCCACATCCTGGCTGGGGCTGGGGTCGCACAGGCCCCACTTGGAGCAGGTCTCATAGTCTTAGGTGTCAAAAGGTGAATGCTTGTGAGGCTGGGCTGGCACAGCCTTGGCCCGGGGCACCTGGACCCACAGACCCCTGCCCCAGCTGGAGGCCAAGTCTGGTGGCGGTGGCGGCCCACGGGCACTAGGCTGGGTAGTGGAAGAGGCTGCCTGTGCGGAGCCTCCGCTTCAGCTCTTGCCACAGCAGCCGCCGCTCCCGCTGGGCACCCTTCATGACACTGCTGTTCTCCAGGGCACGGCGGGACAGGTAGGGCAGCACCTCCATCACGGGGCCGTAGGGCACGTACTTGTACACAGGGAAGCCTGCCTGGCCTGCGTGCACAGGCAGAGGCCATCAGTCCCAGCCCTGCCCGGCCCCCCAACACCATCCCGCACCCCCCAGGAGGCCCGCTCGCTCACCCAGCGGAAAGCTGATCTGGTCACACATGCCCAGCAGCTGTCCAAAGTACACCTGGCAGTCAGCGGGGTGCAGGCCCAATTCCTCCATCCTGTAAGGGGGCAAGGTGGCAGGTGAGCCCCCTGGGCCCTGTGCTGGCTCTGAGCCCCTCTGCCACCCTCAGACCCCCATCCACATGCTCTCCCCTCCACCCCTCAGGGTGGAGCGTGGGCAGGAGCTCTGCCCTGCAACTCCCACCCCAGCCTGCGACTACCAAGTTCCCTCCCTCCCTAGCCAGCCTCCCCTCCTGCTGTGCTCACTCCCCAATGGCCCCTTCCTCCTGCTGGCCCAGACCCCCATTGCTGGTGCTCTGACCCAAGAGAGGGGGCCCCACCCAGCAGCCTGCCCCACGTGTGGCAGCTTGCAGCCCTTGTGCTGCCCCTTCCTCCAGCCATTCCACTTCAGTGCCTCGTGCCTCTCGCCTGGCACCCCCCAACCCCAGCCAGGCCCTTTGTCACACCCTGCTGGTTGCTGTCCCGTAAGGCAGTGACCAGTGGCCACGGAGTCTTTGGAAGGTGGCTGGTGCTGCCAGCATGAACCACACGTGGGGTTGTGAAGACAGTGCGAAAAGAGAATGCAGAGCGTCTCGTCATTTTCCAGAAACACCAAATGCGTGTTTAGATGGTAATAGCTTGAATGTGTTGGGTTAATTGAAATGCATCATTGAAATCAACCTCATTTTTTTGTTTTAATGTGGCCACCAACACACAGAGAGTTAAGAGATGTGGCTCGCACTCCTGTTAGTGCTGCCCAGATGTTGGTGGGGCCCCCCGGGAGCGGGGGGGACTGCATCTGGGGCAGTGGGTGCTGTGATGTGTCTCAGACAGTGGTGGGCCCCCCCCCCCGGGAGGCAGGAGACTGCATCTGGGCAGGGGCTGCCGTGGTGTGTCTCAGCGGGAAGATGTAGAAGAAAGGGAGCCGTGCAGGGGGCAAGCTCCACACGGAGAAGCTTCCTAGTTCTCTGCCCGGCCAGCCTCCCAGTAGCTGAGCCTGTGGCCCCAGCTGTAAAGGTCGGCACTGGCGCGGACCACGGCCTTCATAATGGAAGCCTACGGAGCACCACTGTCCACCCGTCGGCCTCATGGGCTCGCCGCTGCCCAGAGCAGGACCCCGGCACCCAAGGGATCAAACCTCAATCAAGGCTCCTTCACAGAATACCATTTTTAATCCTAAGGGAAAGCCATGTTCTAAAATTTGTGGCTCCATCATGTTCATTTTAACAGTTGAAGCCAGAACTCATCCTTGCGCACGCAAGCGGGCCCCCCTACACCCAGCGACAAGACTGGGGCGGCCAAGGTGGGAAATGAGGACCTGAGAAGTCCCCAGGGATGAAGGGAAGAAGACAGCCGGGACTCTGCTCTGCCCCCACCGGAAACCGCCAGACCCCCAACCCTGGCAGCAGCGCTCAGGAGGGAGCCCTGGCGCTCAGGTTCCCGAGCATGGTGGCTGCCACTGCCGTGCGTTAGGAATGGCGGTTTGCAGTTGCAACTTCAGACTGAAAAAGCAGCACCACCGTGAGCAAAGCGTGGACAGCGACGTTACTGGGTGGGTTTAGAACTAGCAGCCAGCTCTCCAGGCTGCACCCTCACCCCACCTGCACCTTCACCGCTCCTTTGGGAGACCCCACTCAGCAGCAAGTCCTGGGCTTGGGGTGCTCCCACGGGGGGACGGGGGCCCCTGCTTTACTCTGGGGAAGCCCCCGGAAGGCAGAGACTGGGGAGAAGCAGGGGAACTAGAAGCCCTGGTGAGGGCTGCTTGGGTTAGGACATGAGATAGAAGAACAGGGAATATATAAGGATTTGCTTCGCCGTATTCATGTACTTGACTTGTAAGGGTTCTGCCAGTTTTGCTCCATGGCAGTGAGGGGGCCGGGGGGGAGGGGGGTGTTGTTCATTAAGAGACCAGGCATCAGAGGCTGAGGCATTCCAACATTTCACACTGTCTGCATTTTAATGAGCTATTTCAGTCACCTAATAAACTTACTTGAATTTGAAACTTCAGTAAGGTTTTAATTTCAAGAACCAAATTAACCGCAAATAGCCTTTGCTACAGTAGAGCCAAGGCCCAGGCGGCCTTGGCGGGATGGGGGCCTGGGAGGCACCAAAGCCAGCGCTGCCAAGCCCTCCAGGTGCCCTGCCCAGGGAGCACCTGGACCGCTGGGGCAGGGGAGGGGGTGCCTACCTGCGCAACGTGAAGCGCACTGTGTCCTCGTTGTGGGAGGCCACCATCACTTTGGCCTTGGCGTTGTGCCTCAGCTCCTCCAGGACATAATTGAGGCACCTGGGGGGGGGGGACACGTGAGCCTGGGCCTGGAGTGTCCCCCACAGCAGCAAAGGCCCGGGGCTGTCTAGCAAGCCTGCCCCTCCCAAAGGTGCCCATGGCGACAGGACTGAGGCAGGGAGCACCTGTCCCTCCTTAGCGCCTTGAGACTGAGAGAAAAGGTGAGCATCTCAAGGTCTAGACATTCAGAGGGACCCAGCTGAGGCAGAGTGCCCTGTGTGCCCATGACAGGCACAGCTTCAGGAAAGGGTCTTCTAGGAAATTTAGGGTGGGTGTGTGGGGGCAGCGCCTCCTCCTGGCAGTGAAAGCAACTCCGCCAGGTGCCTGCTGTCTGACCTGGCAGCTCCAATTCCAGTAGTGGCTGCGATGGTCTGCTGCTGACCTGGGGGATCCAGGTACAGCTTTTCCAGAAAAGCAAGGACAGTGGGGAGCGCAAGGCGCCAGCCACCACATGGGCTGCACGAGCAGGTGCCGGGCGGTGAGGGGAGACGCTGTGGTCTCTGAATTTACAACCATCCACGCAGCCTCCAAGAGAAATGGCACGAGGTTGGCCTGTCCCGGTGGCACCAGACACCACAACAGGCGGCCCCAGAGGCAAGGCGGGTGCAGTGTGGGGAGGGCACTCGGGCACCAGCAGGAGCTGCCAGGACCCAGGCGAGCTCAGTTTAGTCCAGTCGACTTTTCTGTTAAAAAGCCACCTTAATGTGTTTGAAAAAGTAAAGCAAAAGCAGAGAAAATAATCAGTTCGGGCCTGAGGGCAAAAGCTTTGCTCCTACCAGAAGCTTCCGACCCCCAGGGCGGCTCCCCCTTTGGATGGGGGTCCATTGGCTCAGCTCCAGCACCGAGGAGGGACATTTCCCTCGAGGTTTCCTCACTCCCCTCCGCAGGGGCCAAAGCCCTGGGGGCCAAGGAGGCCCGGCGCACCTGTGGTACATGGCGTTGGTGGCCTCGTACGTGGGGTTGATGGGGTCCTCGTAGCCGATCTCCGCGGCACGGGCCCGCTCCTGGGCCATGTATGCTCCCCGCACCAGCTTGGCTCCAAAGCACCAGCCCTCACGGCGAGCCAGTTCCACGTCCATGGTGACGTTGTCATAGGCATCCTGCAGAGTCAAAGTCAAAAGTCAGTAACTAGGTCAGCCCCTCTCCAGCCAGCAACAACCCCCCGCCGCCCGCCCCAGGGGCTTCCTGGGCCCAAGAGCATCAGGGGCACAGTCTGCCAGGGGCACCAGGGCGACAGCAGCTGGCTGAGGTGCCCGGGGCCCTATGGGTGCTCGGGATCTGGGAGACAGGTGTGGGTGACGGAGCCCTTTGACCTCTGCCCTCAAGGAATGTTGACAGAGAGGCTACCTGCAGCCTCTTCTGTTTGGCCTGGAGGCAGTCCTTCGAGGGGACAGGCCAGGTGCCTGCAGCCACAGTACACGGCAGTCTCCTCGGGCTGACTTGGGGTGGGCGCCTGCCTGGAGAGCCCCCTGCCCCCACAGCCTCAACACCCACCCACCGCCCCCAAACGCCTCACTGGCCCCCCAGCGGCGGCCCATTCTCGGTTTGTGCGCGGGGCTCCCACCCTGAGGAGTCACTGAGGAAGCAGCACAATTCCAGCCCCATTGTCTTCCCAAGAAGGGCCAGAGCCTTCACTGGATTCTCAGAGGGACCCAACCAAGACGGGAGAAAAGGGTCATCCCTAAAGGCTTCAACGACATCTGGGGATGAAAGCACATTACGTGGGCCCTACATGAGCTCCCTCCTTGTCTTCCTGCCCCTTCAACACCCTCGTCTGGGACCAGGGGCCCCCAGGAGGGGCCGGCCTTCCCTGCAGCCGTGGCCCTGGTGGGGCGGTGGTGGGCCTCACCCGGAGGTAGCACTGGTACGTGTTGAAGACGAGCGGCTTCTCCACGTTGAACTTGCGCTGCATTTCCAGCGTCAGGCGGCTGATGGCCGGCTGGAAGTAGGTCTGCTCGGCGTCCACCATCAGCCGCACCCCCACCTCCAAGGCTTTCTTAGAGGTCAGGGGTGGGAGACAGGGTTTGTCGGGGGCTCAGGAGAGGCAGGTGCCCCCCCCAGCCCCTGGGCGCATCCCAGGCCCTCGACCTTGGCCAGGGTGTCCATCCTCTGCAGCATCCGCGTCATCTGCTGCTCCTCCTCCTCGGTGAACCCTGAGAGCAGAGGCTCCAGCTGTCCTGTCTTGGGGGGGTGGCACGCGGTCAGGCCACAGCAGGGCCCTGGACCACACTGCTCTCGAAGCCAGCACCCCCCCGCCCTAGCCCAGAGCCTACCAACACCTGTTGCCTGGTCCCCAGGACCAGCGAGACCCCCTCACCTGGGCCCCTCCTCCACCCTGTTTGTGCATGAAGGTCAGTGCCCTGCCCTGAGGCCAGCTGGTGACCCAGCAACAAGGCCACCTGGGGGCGTAACCTCCCAGCCAGCCAGTCAGCTGCCTCAGGTCAGACCTGCCCCCAAGGCATCTGCTCCCACAGCCTCCCCAGTAAGCTGAGGGTCCCCCTTCTGCCCCCAGACAACTAAGGAAGCTACCTTTGACCCATCCGATCACCAGGAAAGTCTCAGCCCCAAGCAGGGAGTGGGCTCAGAGAAACCAGGGCTACAGGAAGACAGGGACAGCTCTCAACACAGATTGACAAGGGACGGAGGCACCGCCCCCTGGTGGTGGCCTTCAGGGAGTGGGGCAGGTTGGCATGGCATGTGAAGGCGGTGGGCACACACTCTGCAGGCCTGTGCAGCCCTGGGCCCTCTGCTCGCCCCACCTGCCCACCAACCCTGTCCAGGGCACACCGGGGAGAGGGCTCCTCAGTGTCTCAGTGTGGGGGCTGGGCCCTCAGTGGCCTAGGCTGGAGGTGTGTGGAAGACAGTGTTTGCCTCTGCTGCTTGTTCGCATCCCTGCTTAGGAGGTGGTTTCCACATGGCTGCAAATTCCTAGACACCCCTCCCACGGGCAGGTGGGGTCTTATCCCTCCCTGCGTACACAGGCCCGCCAGTCACTGACTTTTAACCAGCGGGACTGGGCACAGGTAATGCTGTGGGACTTCAGGGGCTAGGCTAGAAGAGGGGACAGAGCTTCTTCCTGACTCCTGGGGACACTCACACTGGGGACCCAGCAGCCATGTGGTGAGGAAGCCCTGGCCGAAAGCTGGCTGTGTGGGTGGAGACCCTCTACAGTGACCCCGCTCCTGCCACCCTCTGAATACAACAGCAGGGAAATCTGAGGGCCACCTAGAACCTCGAAGAGGAGCAAAACGTGTTGCCCTTTCAAGGCCAATGAGGTTTGGGGTGACCCAGCGTGCAAGGGCAGATGACGTGGGGGAGGTTCCCCAGATACCCCTGTCCTCTAGGGTCTCCGTCCCTCTCCATGGGCACTGATGGGCCTGTCTTCTTCCCTCTAGACCCCAGGGTCTCACACGGCCCGGGAGGACAGCAGGCTAAGGCACAGGGAACACTACCCAGCCCGTCCTGGCATCCCCTGAGACGGGGGGTGGGGGGGTGGGGGGCACGGCGCACCTGCATGTTAGGGACCACCAGGTGCTTGGAGAGCTCGGTCCTGCTGTCGATGAGGCTGCTCCAGTCCAGCAGGTCCAGGGTGCTGCGGGCAACCGTGGGTCAGCAGAGCGGCACGGCCGCTTCTCCAGCCAGCCAGGCAGCCTTACCCATGGTGCCAGGATCTGTTGGGAGCCTGGACCCCAAACCAGCCCATCCCCTGAAAAGAGCACCTCCAAACCCAGTCCCCGAAGAACCTGCCCCAGTGTTCAGTTTCAAAAGACAGATAAAATGTAAATGTCGTCATCTGTTTAACAAATGAAAACCAAAACACGGGCATGTTCTGCAGAGGGGCGGTGGCAGCTAGGAAAACGCAGGGCCTGCACAAAGACCACCACTGGCCACATCAGTCTGGGGGGCGGGCAGACAAGGGAGAGCAGGCAGAAGCACGCACGGTATGCAAGCACGAAGCATCCTGTTGCCAGCCCAGGGGCCCCGGGGACCTCAGTCCCAGCCCCCAGCACCCTAAAGATGAAGTCAGCGGCTCTCCAGGCGTTAGCTGCCCTGACCCTTCACCTGTCTGCTGGCTGGCACTCCTGCCGAGCAGCACAGTCACCTGGCCCTGTGCTCGAGCCGCTGGCCCTCATCCATGGCCTCCGGGTTCCCTGTCAGCTCCCACCCTGTGCATCTCAGGGGCGCGTTTTCCTTAGCACCATCACCTCAAGGCCCACAGACTTGATGAGGAGGGTGACCAGGACTGGGGCAGGCTGCAGGGACCCAGCTGGAACCACAGCTGAAGAGGGGCCGACACCCCCACCTTCTCAGCCAAGGGGCTGCTCTTACCCAGACACACCCAGGGTCTCTGCAGTGAACCAGCTCTCGATCTCCTTCTTGGACGCAATGCCCATCTTCGCCACGCTTTCCTTGAGAAGTGAGAGGTGTCGGTCCCCTGGCACCCCGAGCCCCACTCACTAACACTTAGTTCTGCCTGTTGGTTTGTGATCTGCTTGGACCTGATTGCATGTTAGTGAGAACAGGATGCGGCTCAGGCTAGGCTGCTGATCCACAGTGGAGTCTATCCCCGCAGGTCCCGACGCCCTCCCCCGCCACCCCCCACCCCCGTCCCTGCAGCCCCACAGCACTGCTCCTTGCAGGGCCTGCCCCTCCGCCACTCTCCTGTCCCCGGCCTCCGGTCAGACGCCTTCCCAGACAAACCCTGGCAGCCTCAGGGCAGGTCCCAGGCCCCGGAGCAGCCCTAGGAACCCATCTCAGATACGGCCCAGCCAGTCCTCCTTGGGCAGGGCGCCTCCCCAGCCCCGCCAGGTCCACCCACTCACACTACTAGGGAAGGGCTGCCCACCTGCAGTGCCGCCACCTCCAGCCTCGTGTCCGTGGCAGCGAGCCCGGCCTTCCCTTGCTCGGCAGCCATTTGGTGAAAGAACCGTCTCCACTTGGTCAGCACATCTGAGAACTGCAGCTGCAAGTGCAGGCCTGGGCTGCCATCTCAGGCGCACGCCCAGCTCCCTGCCCCCAGGACCCCCGCATAGCCCCTGGCCCCCGCCCCAGCCCACCTGTGTACCTGGCTCTCAGCCCCAAAGGTACAGGCACGTGAGCTTTCACTTAATGCTCACAGCTGCCCCCAGGTCCTGCAAACTCTCTCTGCATGTAGATGTTTCCAGCACTTACCAGAACCTGGGGTCTCCCCAGCGCGGTGAGCTTAATGGCTGTGAAGCCATCATCGCTAGCTCCACCTGTGGGAAGCCACAGGAAGGGCCCTTAGGGCTCAGGGGGTGGGGGCGAGGGGCGGGGATCAAGGACCCGGAGCCTGTGCTCGCTCATAAACCACAGTGGACACGGCTGCTCCCCACACCCACCCGGGAGGTGGGAACAGTGGCTCATTGGCATTTGCTACGTGGGTCAGGAAGGCGGTGGGGAGGACTGCGCATTCCTACCCAGTCCCGATGACCACGCCCTCTCCCTGCCTCAGTCTCCTCTCCCCGCTGCCCCAGCGGGCTCACAGAACACACGCCCGCAGAGCAGAGAGCAGGCTGGAGCATGGGGGTCGCTCAACCCCTGCATCTGCACCTGTCCTCTGGCCTCCCGAGCACGGCTCCACTTCCGTGTGAGCCCCCCCCCCCCCGTCTGTTTGTCCCCAGGCGGAGCGGGTAGGGAGGTGCCCAGACACCCCTGGCACTGGGCACTGGACAGCCAGGTGTGGGCCTGACCGGCCAAGGCCTCCCCAGCGCTGCTCTCAGAAGGCTACTCCTGACCATCACTCGCTCCCACTTCCTAAAGTGTTCAGAAAGTGCGGACCCCACTTTGCCATCACAAGGGGGCTGCTGAGGATGCACAGTGTGGGGCACAGTGTGACCTGGTGGCTTTCGAAAGACTACAGGACATGAAGGCCTCAGGCACCCCCCAACTACCCACCTCCCCCGGCAGGTGCTTCGGCCCCGAGGCCGTGTGCGGAGGAATTCTCCACTAAAGAGGATCCGGCACCAGCTCCCTGAGCGGTGCAGCCCTCAGCGCACCCGTGCGTGCACGACCAGAAATCTGCCCTTGCCAGAGCTGGGGGCCGTCAACCACTGAAAGCCCTCCCGAGGGTCCACACACCGGGCACCTGGATCCAGGAAAGGGGCGGGGACCCCCTCCTGGAGGCAACCAGGCTCTTTGTGGAGGCGCTGGGTGCAGTAGTGACCCCAGTGTGACTGAAGTCTCACCTGTGGCTCCCTGTCACCCTCCCACCCGGTCACCCCAGGTCACCCACACAACCACCAGGGCCGCCCAGACAGAGAGGGAGGCCTGAGTGGGTGCTCCGGTCCGGGCCTCCCGCCACACGTCCACCTGCCGCCGGTAGGCCCAGGCTGGGCCTGGCCAGGGGACAGCCGGCAAAGAGCGAGGCCCCACCTGAAGCCTCAATGCAGCGCAGGAACGTCTCCATGTGGCTGTCACACTTGGCTTCATTGGCGTAGAAGTAGGTGCGGGCGCTGATGACGCCGTCCCTGCGGTCTCCAAAGGCCGGGTGGGCCTGGTACTGCTTCTCTCTCTTACTGGCTCCTGCGAACGGCCTGAGCTCTGACCCAACTCCACAACCGGCTCCAGCCTCAGGCCCAGCACCCAAGATGCCCCGAGGCTCCCCGACACTGTGCGGACGGCTGTTTGCCAGCGTCCAGTGCCACCCAGCCCTGGACACGCGCTGCTGCCTGGAAGAGCCCTAATCCCATGGCAGACCTGGGCCGGCAGGCAGAGCCAGACTGACCAAGGACCATGAGGATGTGCCCTAGGACATGGGTCAGAACTGGGCACCACCCCTTGTCCCCTGGGCTGGCTGTGTCCCATCCAGGACCCAGGCCATGGGGGGGGGGGGGCGGTGAAAGCATCTGTTGGCCACTGCTCACCTCTGTCTTTCCGCTCAGCCTCGGAGGTGCAGGACCTGTGGGAAGAGAGAGGGCAAGGGTCAGGGTCATGGCGCCTTGAGTACCACCGACAGTATGAACCCATCAGGGTGAGAGAACACTAGAGGCTGAGACCTGAACTTGACCACCAGAGGCTGTGTGGGGAGGGCTGGGTGAGCCAGGACAAGTAGGAGTGACTCACCGCCCCTCCCACTAGGCCTCCAGGGTCCCCTTCTCTGAGCTGGGAGGGGCAGTGGCCTCCGCAGCGACCCGGCCTCCAAGCCCTGCACCTGGAGAGGCCCCAGGTTCCCCATGGGTGGAGCCCCTCCAGAGTGTCTGAGAAGTAAGACCACCTGCTGGGGGGTGGTTCTCTGAACAGCCCAGGCAAGTCCGTGAAGGAGCGCCCTCTGGAAGAGAGACAGCTGTGGAGCCAGGCAGGGCTGGTGAGGAACAGACGGGCAGCCGCTGGCGCACACAACTCCCCGAATCAGCCAGCGGGGCCCCTTGCTTCACTCTCCACCCCCACATCCAGGTACCTCAACCACCGGGGCCGAGGCTGGCCTCCTGCCCACCCCCCTCCAGCCCCCGGCACCCTGCTTCGTTCTTGTCCCTCAGGTTTATGATCTAGCAGCAACTGGAGTTTTTCTTTTAAACTGAAAACCCTCCCATCAGACCTGAATAACACCCCCGGGCTTCACAGGGACAGGACAGCGAGGCAGCCCTGGGCCCTGGCTGCCCCACCCGACCAGCACTCAGCCACACTGGCCTCTCCACCGTCCCCAGCTGCCCCCTGCCTGGCTCTGCCTGGCCATGCCCTGCCTGGCCCACCCCCACCTCCTCCTCCCAGTGGCCATGGAGTCTGGGACAGCAAGCGTCATGGCTGTCTTCAGATGAAGGGAACACTCCCATCGCTGCCGCCAGTCCAGGGGTGGCACCCCCCCAGCTTCATCTGTCACCGGAATTTGTACTGAAGGCCTCGTCAGCCAGTCACCCAGAGAGGGCTCGGCTGCAGCCCTACACCCGTCGCATGGCCTCCCAACCCTTGGTCATACCCGCAGGGTGGGGTGGGGCGCCTGCAGCCTGTTCACGCCCCAGCAGGGAAGGGTGCTGAGTTCCCCCAGGGGCACTCCAGGCCCAGGTAAAGCCAGATAAGCTGCTGAAAGGCACCTGCACCTGTGGAGGCCTCACGTGACTCAAGCAGCTACGGCAACTTTCACCTGGTTGCCCCCAAAGCAAGTCCCAGGTGCCCATCTACCCTCTGGGGAGCCGTCCCTACAGGCCTGGCTTCTGTACCACCCTAGGGCCTGAGTCCGGGATGGCATGAGACAGAAGGCCTAGGTCAGGACCCAAGGGGCCAGGTGCTGCCCGCGAAGCGGTATCCCCATGTGGCCACAGGCTGGGGACAAGAATGGCCGGCAACCTCATGCCAAGCAGAAGCGAGTGCCTGATGTGACAGAAGAGAAGAGGGTGAGGGATGTGACAGTGTTGGCCCCGAACTCGACCTCCCTGCGGGAACAAGGAGCTCCCGTCCCCACCCCAACCTGAGGCCCCTGGGCAAGGGCACCGATGAGACCAGCCCCCCCCCTCCGAGCTGTGGCCCAGCCACAACCAGGCAAAAGCCATCCACTACAGTGGAGGCCCGACACGGGAGCCCACCGTGGGCACTAAGGCAGGGGCCTGGCCAGTGAGGGCGGCAGCTGGCGGACTCAGCCTGCTCTGTGACCACAGCCCCGCTCTCTGAACGTCAGCCACACAGTTACCTGCCTTCCAGCCCCACACCCTCCTGCTGTCAGACGGGGCCATTACCCAGCAGAAAGGCTCCCGGGGCCTGAGTCACCAGATCGAGATTCTGCCTGACTGGTATAACCAGGCTCCGAGGACTCTCCCTTTCTCTCGCCCAGCGTGCTCAGTGGCAGGAAAGCTGCCGGAGGCCAGGGCTATTTCCATCCCTGAACCTCCTGGGTACAGACCAGAGGGGAAGCAATTCAGAAATGGGCTGAGCAGAGGGACCGGGCAGGCTGCACAGCCTCAGGTCAGGTGCATGGGTCACAAGGAGACAAAGACAGCCGTGCCAGGATCTGTTGGGATCTGAGAGTGGAGACCACAGCACCATGGCGGGAAGGAGGAGAACCCCTACTGTGCACGTGTGTGTGTACACACGCACACACCTGTGCAGGCCCCAGGACCGGGAGAACGAAGCACACTGGGGGGAAGGGGGAAGGAGAGAAAGAACACAGAGACCCAGGGGTCTGTGGAGGTGACAGGAAGACCCAAGCAGCCCCTCAGCCAAGTCCAAGCTCAGTTCCCAGCAGCTGCCTGGCCAGACTTGTCAGTGGGACGCCTTTCAGAGAGGAGTGGACAGTGAGGGGGGATCAGGCCAGCCCCTCTCACTCCAGACATCCCTGGCGAGATGTAGGTCAGGCAGCAGGAGCGGGGAGGAGCTCGGCCAAGCCCATGGGGCGCTCCTGCCGGCACGCCCACCCCCCAGGCCTCCCCGGGCCCGGTTCCAGGCAGCATCTGTAACATTCTGTGTGCGCTGCACTCATCCCAGGGCAGCCGCCACCACGCCGGGGAACAGAGCCCGGCCAGCTCCCAGCCAGCCCTGGGGCTGCACAAGCAGGACAGACACATCTGCCATCCACAGGGTCCCCGGGTGTCCTGACCATCAGGAAGAAACCCCAGTCCCCTGCCCCACCCCCATGGCTCCCAGCCTTCTGGGGACACCCCAAGGGGCCCTCTCCTAGAGTTGGGCCACTGGCCTCTGCCTCCTAACGTGTTTGGGAAACACCATCCCACATCCTCCCTAGATGGCTACTGTTCCCCACCTCCTGCTTCCCGCCCTGAGAAGGCCTCCTGGGTCCACTCGTCATGCCTTCAGGCCAACCGGGCCTCCCATGTCTTTAGATCCTCTTTACTTTCTGTGCCTTTTACAGTGACGCCTGAGGCAGGCCCAGCCATCCCCACCCTCCACTTTCATTTGGGGCCATGGCCTCCACGTCACTGCCGAGAGCAGGGTTCAAGGCCATGTTTAAAGCCACCCCCGGCCAGGAACACCCAGTCCACCAGGCAGGCATCTGAATAGTGCAGACCAGCGCCTGCAAGCCTGGTCCCACCTCTCAGGCCCAGCCCCTCCGGCAACAGAGCTGGGCCTGAGTCCTTGACACGTGCCACAGGCATCGATGATGGTCACCCTGTTAGGATGGGGAGGGACCACCGCTCACGCCCCAGAGCCCATATGTGGCGCTCCAGCAGGACGAAGGGCACCAACTGTGACCAGTGCAAGGGCACAGGTGCCTCAGCAGGACGGGAAGGAAGCCAGGCAGGCCACCCTGGGAAAGCAGGCTTCTCAAACCAGAGAAAATCCCACTGTGAAGCCACCCAGCCCCCACCCTGACATGGCAGGACACACAGCTCATTAGTTCGTCCTCAGGCAGCCACGGCCCCCACTGGGAACAGAAGGGGTGCTCAGCCAGAGAACCCCGCCTCCAAGACAGCGAATCACTAGACAGGGGCTGGGCTCCCTAGCCCAATTGACTGCTGTGAGTCTCGGACATTCTGTTCCCAGGCCGGCAGCCTCACGTGACAGCTTTCCTTCCTGCCCCCCCCCACCTCCCCGGGCCAGAGCAAACTCCACAGCCTGAGACAGCAGGTTTTTCAGCGGTTTGGGCTTCCCCTCAGGACATTGCGCCAGGAAGCAGAGGGTGACCTAGTTCTGACCCAGCGCAGAGGTCCAGGGAAGGGTCTCCGTACTCACTGCCCAGGCAACAAGCAAGGTGTCGGCCTCATGGGGCGACGCCCGGCCAGCCTGCTCTTCCTGGCTGTTCTTTCCCTTCTCCACAGAGCCGGGAGCCCGGCAGGCTGCACACCCGCCAGGCAGAGCCCACCTGCGTCTGGGGAAGCTGTCTCTCCCAGGGCCAGGCAGGGGTGGGGCAGTGGGGTCCCTGCAGCAGAGCAGGGACCCGCCCAGAAGCGAGCAGGAAGTCACAGGGCTGATGTGTGATTGGGCAGCCCTGCTCTCGGCCTTGAGAGCCGTTCCAGCTCATTTGTCACAGCTACCAAACTCTGCCCCCATCGGGTGAAAGCCATCTGAATTTCATATAATTTTCATGTCACAAATTATTATTCTTGCTCTGATTCGGTTCAACCATTTAAAAATGCAAAACCCATTCTCAGTGTGCAGACGGCACAAAGCCAGGCGGTGGGTGGGCCCCGCTGTGGGGAATAGCGGCCGACCCCTATTCTCAGTGCTCCTCCGGCCCTGCACACACCAGGCTGCCCCGGAGAGCACAGGGCTGTAATCCTCACGAGGTGAAAATGCAAGCCCCCAGGGCTGAACCCACGAGGGCTCCGAGTAATCAGGCAGATGCAGCTCTCCTAGCCCCGGGCCCCTCCCAACCCAGGCCTCAGCCAGTCCCCGGCCCCCCAGCGGTGCTCTGGGGCACCAACAGATGCCAGGCAGGCCTTACTCCATCTCCTGGCGCTCCGCCTCCTCTGTGCTCAGGTCTTCCTCCACTCCGTAGTCCAGGATGGAGCCCACACCAAACGCCTTGTTATGCTGAATCAGGGGCCGGATTGACTCCTGGTCCTCACCGGCCACGAACTGTCCGTAGAAGGTCATCTTCATAAGCTTGTCGAACAGCCGTTGTCCCAGAAGTCTACTGGTGAGACGGAGCAGCTGAAAGGCAAAGGGAAGAAGCTGTCCTGGGCCAGCAGCCTCCCCTGTCCCCAGCAAGACACCTTGCTTCCCTGCCCCCTTCACCAAGTCACAAAACCTACTCTCCCAGGGCCAAACTTGGCTCACGGCCCCCATTTTACAGTGGAGACCACCCAAAGCAGCTTGCTATCTGCTTGCAGCAACTGTCAATCACCCACTCCTGTGGCCACGGCGGGTCCCAGGGACCACCCCTGTGGCCACTTTTCCTCTCTGCCCTGCAGGCTCACAGATGACCCCAGTTGCACTCAGCAGGTGCCTGACCACCACTCGGTGGATAAAGGAGCGAATGGCGGGTCTCTCTGAGACAGCTATGGGCGTGTTCATAACGTCCACGCCTCAGAAGATGACACTGGGGAAAAGGAGGGTTTGGTGCAACTTTCTAGAAGGCGAGCACCAGATTTTTCAATAGTTCGTTCACTGCTTAGTCCAAGTTCTTAAAACAGTGCCTGGTAAGGGGCCGGCTCTCCTAGAGCTGTTAAACAAATGAACACGTGCAAAGTTCAGAATCTGCGCTCAGGTGGAGTGAGATGTGGGCTGCCGACCACCCAGGTGACCATCTACAAAGTTCTGCAGACAAGCGGCCACCCCAGGACCAGTGGGCATTCAGCACAGTCACCCAGGGCCACAACACACCAGCAGCTCAGGCCAACGTGCCCCCGAGGAAGACAACCGCCCATGAACCACCCAGCGTCCCCTCCAATCACGTCCCGGACTTCTGTCGTCATCATCCAAAGGCCCTAAGCAGCTGCATCACGCCCAGCACAATTCCAGGCCAGGCAAAACAGAGGCACTCACATCCTACTGGGGGAGAGACTCTGAAGGAGGGAGGGGCAAGGTTACCCCAAGGGGTGATTGAGAACAGAGCGGGAGGTGTTTTCGAACTTAGATCCAGAGAGGGGGGCTGGCCCAGGGTGGGGGGTGACTCCAAGAGCTGGCACACTGGGGACAGTCAGGGCAGGAGGCCTGAGGCTTTGAGGGATGGCTGCTGGGGGGGCGGCACACCCACCACCTGTCTGGGAATTCCCATGCGCCCACTGCCCCCACCCCAGCTCCAAAACAGAGCCAGCCTGAGGTTTCTCAACCCAGTGGATAACTGGATCCCCTGTATTGTGGAGAATGTCTCTTGGGATCAGGGTTTTAAGCAACAGTCTCTACTCTAAGCAAAAGCATGAGCAAGTCTGCAAACCAGCCCCAAGCAGCCCACGTTGGACCAGAGGCAGACAGGCCTGGAAATGCAGGGTGACACTCTGTGGAGAAGCCTCAAGGCCACACCTGCAGGGCATCCTAAGGTCAAGGCTTTTCAGGCCATCACCTCTACCTGGCTGCAGCTTCCGTCCAGTCCTTGTTTTTATAAGGAGGATTAGAAAAGTGAAAATTTTTACACAGAGGATTAGAAAGGGAAACAAAATGTTATCTGGGGAGGGCAGGGCAAGCCTCTCCCTGTCCCACCACCTCACGCCCAGCCAGAGCTGCCTGGCAGGAAGTGGAACGTAATCGAGGATCGCCCCAGGCGCAGCCAGGGAGGAACAGCCATGGGCAGCTCTGAAAAAATGCCCTGCAGTGCACACACCGACCCTGCCGCACCCAGTGCAGAAGTGCCTCCTTGCAGGCCAGCAAACTCCCAGCCCGGGCCACGTGGTCAACGGTGCACTTAGGCTGAGTGGACCCAACTGCCTCTGTCCTGCTCCTCAGCTCTGCCAGTGTAGTGCAAGAGCAGACACCACAGCCACCACCCATCGAAGGAGCAAGGGTAAGGCTGACGCTGTATTGACAGGAAGACTGAGATGGGCCCTGGGCTGGTGGCCTCCCACACCTGGCACTGCAGTCTGCACTGACCTCCTCTGCTCTGCTCCAAGGGCGGGAGGGGCTCGGAGGGCATGGCCACCCATGTCACGAGCCAGTCATTCACCCTCTCACCTAGGCGGCACACAGGGTAGAACTGACAGTTCTAGAGCCAGCTCCAGAACAAAGTGGCCGCGTTGAAACCATCTGGGCAGCACTGCCTGGCATAAGGGCTGCCCCACCTTGTCTCCAGGTGGATTTAGAATCTTGCACCAATAACACAGACTCAAGTTTTCATTGTAAAACACGGGTGCCTACAGAGCACAGGTAAAGCGGGTTCTTCCTCCCTGCTTCTGGCAGGGCCACTGTCAGCATCTGCAGTGTTCTTTCCATCAGCCTCTTCTGCAGTGGCTCACACCCAAACACAGAAGCCTTTGTTGGGGAAGACCTGGATTCTCTAACCTCTGAGTCCCAAACCAATGCAGAGTGCAGAGTGGGCCCCTGTACTCTGACCCTCCCTCAGAGCAGACTCGAATGACTTCCGCCCCGGCAGGAACTGCAGAAACCAGTGCCCTTCAGCAGGAAAAAATTCCTGCAAGAGGAATTTTTACTGCAGGGTGGAGGTCAGGGAGGACAGGCCCACAAGTCCATGCAGTCCGTCGGGCCTCTGCCCCTTTCCCGCCAGCAACAGGCACCAAGGCTTCCATCACTGGTGGGACCACCAGCAATGACAAAGGTAGAACAGGTCCCATGCTGGGGGGCATGCAGAGCACCCCCACTGATAGTGGGCTCCTTGAGGGTGTCCCCAGGTCACATGCAGGATCTGAGAAGGCCTGGATGGGCCCCCCCGCCTCTTTCAGGCACCCACAGCTCAGTCCCTGCACTCCAGCAGGTACCCCTAGCAGGCATCACAGAGAGAGCAGGGGCGAAACATCCCTCCCGTGGTAGCCGAGGGCTCCCAGCTCTGCTGGCTTCGCTGCTGGTTTTAAACCCAGGGAAGGAAAGTCCACGCTGTGTGGAGACAAAATTTGGCCTAGCTGGTTCCAAGCCCTCTCTTCCCCTCCCTTCCACGTACACAGGGACACAGTTCCTGCCCTGCTCATCCCAGTTCCACCTGGCCATCCCCGGGATGCCTCCACTTCTCCAGTTCAGCTCCTTGTCCCTCCGAATCCCACCCCCCAATCAGACCCAGATTCCAAACCTGACAGGGCAGCTTCTGGAGGGATCCAGGCCAACACCTCCACTGGCCTCACAGTCCCCTCGGAGCCACCAAACTCCGAGACATTCTGGGCCTCTGCCCTTGCTTCCCACCTGCTGGGGTCTGGCCTTCACTTAGCTGAGCCTGAGGATGGCTCAGTGCCCCTCCGTGCAGGCTCCCCAGGGACCGAGGGGGGCGGCACCATGCCCTCAGCAGTCCCACCTGAGAAATCCACACCAACTGCAAGAGGAGCCTTCCAGAGCCTTTGCACCAGCAAATGGAGCCTTGCAAACTGCTCCCAGGGTCACCTTGAAATAAGTACATCTCTGTACCCCAGAGTGACAGCCGCTAAGACAGAGTTCTGCTTCTTACTTCCCCAAAGCCCTCGCACTTTTCAGTTACCATGTTAAAGTTTTATGAGTTTGATATTTGAGCCAATTCCCGTTTTTCCCCAACACCATCTGTTTGTCGTGGTCGTGTCTAGGGAGCCCCTGGATCACTGAGAATTTGGGGGTTCTGGGCTATGAACCCTTCAATACCACCAGACTTCGCTTTGGGCAACATGGGGGACACTCAATTTAAATGTCACATCACAACTTTGTATACTGCACGTGGAATATAGCTTAAGAATTAAAATTTTTCTTTGTTTTTAGTTGGTACTGAGATGTAGCAAAATTCAGGGACCCCAAAAGGAATGCCGGAAACACCTCCCTTCCTGACTTTCCTCGCAATAGGCGATGCTCGAGAGGCCCCTTCTTTACACTCTGAAACTTCATAACGCATCCCGGGACCAGCAGAAGAAGCCGGGGCGCCCCCGCGCAGCCGCCCACCCACCGGCCCCTGTGCGCACCTGCTCATGGTGCGCCAACAGCACCCGCGAAGCGCATAGGCGCAGCACCAGCAGGTTGCGCGCCAGCTCCCAGCTGCGCCGGCTACGGTACGCCTCCTGCGCGTTGTTGAAGTCCACGGTAGGCACCGGCGGCCGCACGGGCTCCGCCGCCCCGCGTCCTGGCACGACCCCCGGGCTCGCGGCGGGCCGCTCGTGGGTCGCCGGCGCCGTTGACAGCGGGGAGAGGCGAGGAGTGCCGGAGCGAACCGCGGAAAGGATGCGCTTCAGAGCCATGGCTGCGCGGTTGCTTGTGCCGGGAGTGCTTAAGTAGAAGCCGCCGCTCCGCCCCTCAGGCCCCGCCCCGCGCCCAGACGCGCCCTCTTCTCGGAAGGCCCCGGGACCCGCGTCTCTCCCAGGGAAGCCCCGCCCCGCCCCGCCCCGCCCTGCCTCGCCCACTCCCTTGCAGGCCCCGCCCCCAGGCCGTTCCCGGCAAGTGTAAATACTGTGGCAGATCCTGACGGTTGAGCCACCCCACAGACGCCTGAAACCAGCCTGCTCAGCCCGTAGACACACCCACAAAGGGGACCCTGTCTCCCAGGGAGCTCACCCCGTCTCCTCCTTCCCTGCAGGAGACCCGCTGCATCCGGGGGCTGGGCCTGCGATTCCTTCTCGGGTTTCTCAAGTCGCCCAGCTGTCCTCGTGCACCAGGAGTCTGCTCGTCAGCGCCATTGCACCCCTGCACCTCTGGACTCCTCCCTGGTCGTTGGGCCGCCTGGACGCCCGGCAGCCGGGTCTGCGGAGAATCCGTGAAGGGCAAAGGCTGGGAAGCCAACCGTTCTCTTCCCCGAGCCTAAAGCTTGATCTTAGGAAGGAGGCCCCTTAGGAATTTGCCTAACTTCCTTTCTCTCCTGTCTTTCCATTCCGACCGCCCACCCATTGGGCAGCCGGGAACTCACAGACTCCCTTGGACCCCTGCAGTCCCCTTGGTTTCAGTCCCCTCCCCATCCTCCTCAGCAGGGCCTCAGTGCCACCCTTGGAGCTTGACAACAAAGCCACCGGCTTTGCTACCTCCCTCGGACCTCCCTTCACTCCTAAGGGCCTTCCCACCTTGACCTAGGATGCCCCTCCTTCCTACAAGCTAGATATCACCTTCTGGGAGGGACCTGCCCTGACTGCCTGCTTTAGCACATCCCTCCCCATCACTCACACCTGGGCCCCTCCCATATCTCCTAAAGACATTTCTATACCCCCACAGGTGCTGGGTCTGACTGTGGATGGCAGCCTCACTCGCATCCCTTCCCCCACTTGCCCACCTGGTTCGCCTGGTTCACCAGGTGCTCCATGCATCTTGGTGAATTGGATGTCCTGCCCTGTTCAGCACTGCTAACCACGTGCAGCCTCCAGGCAACAGGGCAATGAAGAGGGTCAATTTCAGTTCATTTCAATTTCCACCTTTAGCAGATCAGCTACCATCCCCACATTCCTCGACCCAGGGGCAAGCAACCATGGGCTCAGGGGCAAGTGATCCTTTCTCACAGCAGCTCAGTTCACAACAGCCATACCCCAGTGTCCATCAATGAACCCATGGAGAAACAAACTGTAGTGCACCCACAGTGGAATATTACTTGGCAATAAAAAAGGAACGTGGCACTGATGTGTCGTGCTACCACACAGATGAACCTAGAAAACATCATGCTAAGTGAAAGAAGCCAGCCGCAAAAGGCCACATGTTGTATGATTTTATTTCTAGGAAGTGCCCAGAATAGACAAGTCTATACAGAAGCAGAAAGCAGATGAATGGTTTCCTGGAGGAATGGGGAGTGACTGCTAATGGGTATGGAGTTGGGGTATGAAAATGCTCTGGAACTGGATAGTGGTGATGTTTGCTTAACTCTGTGAATATATTAAAAGCCATGCAGCTGTACCCTTGAAATGGGTGAGTTGTATGGTATGTGAACTGTATCTCAGTAAAGCTGTTATGGCACTGACTGGCATGGCTCAGCTGGTTGGGTGTCCTCACACAAAGCAAAAGGTCGCTGTTTTGATTCTCAGTCAGGGCGTGTGCCTGGGTTATGGGTTTAGTCTCTGGTCAGGGCATGTATGAGAGGCAACTGATCGGTGTTTCTTACGCTGATGTTTCTCTCCCTCTCTTTCTCCCTCCCTTCCCCTCTCTCTAAAAATAAATAACTAAAATCTTTTTAAAAATTTATTTTTCAAAAAGCGGTCATAATACAAAAAGCAAAGGGGTTACAGTTCCAGCATTTGCTTCTAGGAAGCCAATGGCCTGGCCATGGAGGCTAAGGCTGGTAGGGCTGCCAGGTTCAGGGCTGCAGAGAGGAGACACTAGAGCGGTGCATGGACTTTCTGCTGAGACCATCCTCTCACCCCCAGGCTGAGGCTGGGGGCAGTGAGCACCGCCGTGCCCAGGTCTCCTGGGAGGATGACCTGCCCGTCAATGCGCCTGTGGAGACAAGGCCAGCCTGGAAGAGGCCTGCCAACGTGCAAATAAATAAAACAACTAAGTTTCACAGACACTCTGCAGTGCCAAGAAGGCAATTCTGCTGCAAATAGCTGGTGGTGCATTTTAAAAGCACGGTCCCCAGGACAAGAGATCCTGAGGTGGTTTGTGCAGGGGTCCTCCAGGAGGTCAGCCAGGTGGGGGGTAGCTGGAGGCAGAGGGTGGAGGCCGGGGCTCCTGTCCTCCAGGTCAGGAGACTGAGGCATGTCAGAGAGGGCCTCAGTGGACCTGGTCTTGAGGTTGTCACCCACCAGTCACCCCCCCGCCCCCACCAGGTGCCAGGCCAGGAGCTCCTGAGTGGAAGCAGGCAGGAAACAGACCTTAATGGGAGGCCCGCCCGGCCACCTCAGGACGACTACAATCCCTTTGTGCCGCAGGCATGTGGCTGTGTTGTGCGCGGTCCCTCCCACACAGCCCTTTCTCCGAATCCCTCCCTTGTCCCATCTTGTATGGGTACTCAGTGAAACGATTCGTTTTTGGTCCACCATCGGCACGTTGTCCTGCCGTCCATGCCGTGCTCACAGATCCTGCCTGAGCTCTACTGAGCTATGTCATTTTGTGTGTTTCAGAACTGCTAACATATGATTGCATTTCCTGACATTAAGGCTGTGTGAATGCAGTCACACTTCGCCACACCAGCCACTTTGGAAGGTCACTTACGATGCACGTGTGAAGAAAGGCATTTGGCTCCCCAGCCCGAGTCTGTCCCTGTGAACAATCAGCGTACTCCGAGTGCTGACGAGGGTGGTGACTGTGGCCTCCCCGTCTAGGGGCCACCGTTGCTGCATGTGCTATGCAGGGAAAACTGAGACTCAGGGGGAGGAGCAACCTGCCCTAGGGCCTGTGGCAGGATTAGAAAGCAGGTTTGTTGTCCCCAGGTCACTTCTTCCATTTTGTCCAATTGTTAAGTCTGTTTTAGCACCAGGTGAGCCCTGGCCAGAGGCATCCTGGGAGCCTACAAGCCAGGGAGCCCAGCCAGGGCCCAGGCCTTGAAAGGGGGCCAAGCCAGAGGACCCGAGGTACCTGGTGACCAAAGAGGGCGAATGACAACAGAGTGGAGACGGGATAAACAAGCATCTCTGTGGTCAGTGCAGTAGAACCCTCTTTTGAAGAAGGCGGCTGGCTCAGGGCTCCAGAGGCCTTCAGCAAGACCTAGCAGGCACGTGCCCCGTGAGGCCCAGGACAATGTGACAACAGCAGCAGTGACCCAGTTCCTGTTATGTCCTGGGCACAGCCCCGTGCCCAGAGCACATGGGCTGTAGAGCCAGAGCTTTGGGTGCCAGAGAGTTTGGGGCTTCTTCCTCAGGATAATAATAATAATAATAATCACACACACACACACACACTCACCCTTGGCCAGGGATGTTGCCAAGACTCAACCTGAAGGTGTTTGGCACTAGCCCTGTGTCCACTAAGAACCTGACAAACCAGAGTCGAGCTCTCACCACCTGCCCGAGGCACCTGAGGGCGCAGGGAAGCTTAAAGATGAGCAGGTCACAGGGGCTGCCCTGCTGGCATGGGTCCTGGGGACATGGACCTTGGGGAGGCCTGAGCTGTCCTGGGCCAGGTCTCAGAGGCAGGGCCTTCCTAGGAAGCTGCAGCTGTGGTCTCTCTGAAGCCCCCTTGGGGGCCCCCACGCACATCCTATGAGCCTGAAGGCTGACACCCTCAGATCTGGGCCTGATGGTAGAGATGTGTCACCTGGGTCGTATGGGGTTGACCAGGAGTCAGGACCTTTGGTGACACTGGGCCACCCTCTCTGCTCCAGCCTAGTGATGGTGACACCCCCGCTTGGGTGGAGACTTCCCCAGCAAGCAGGGGCCTGGCCACTCCACACAGCTCCTGCAGAGAACTTGCCTGGCCTCAGGGGGAGACACAGAATGGTGCCACCGATAGGCTGCTCTGTTGGTCTCTGCACCAGGCCCAGCAGGGTGCCCCAGGGACAGTGCGGTGGGACAGACACGTCCCTCGTTCCTCTACGTACCACTCGGTGTACTGCTTTGGGCTTTTCTCCCAGCAAGCATGTATGACTTCTGTGCTGGACAAATATTGTTCAAGTGCTTAAATAAATAGCCATAAAAAGAAAAGGCAAAGCATGGCTTTGGCTGAAGTTCTGGACACCAGAAGGGGCTGGCTGGAGTCAGGGCTGTGTGACCAGGCTTTCAGGGGCTCAGACACAGGTGGAAGTGGCCCCAGCCCGCCAGGCCTCGCCCCACTGGGACGTGCCCAGCTCCCTCTGCCCCAGGGCGAGAGGCCCCCGCAGGCCTGGACTTGTATAGCGTCCTCGGGGCCCCACCTGGCTGTGCTTCCTGCGTGCCCGCTCAGGGGCCTGGGCCTTCCTGGAGGAGGTGACAGCTGAGCTAGAACAAGGAGGACCCTGGCTTGGTGAGGGAGAGCTGGGGCCTCGGGGATCACAGGAGACTTGGCCTGAGGAGGGGAGGCTGGCACCCCCGCTCTGCCAGCCAGCGGAGTCTCTGGGCCACCCCCAGCCTCTGCTTCTGACCTCTGACACTTTACCGCAGGCACCTGTGCCCCGCCTCCCCACAGCAGCACTGGGATGAGCCTGCTGCCGCCCCTGACAGCCCCCTGCGAGCTCCCATCAGTCCCACCTCCCTGAGTGGGGGTGCCGGACCATGGCCTCTCCTGGGGTTTGGGGCGTGGTGGAGGTCTGGGCTTCCTTCCCTGCCTGCCCTGCCCCCTAGGTATAGATCAGAACTTCCACTGGTGTCACCAAGATGGGTCCCCTTGGGTGAGAGACAGAGACAGGAGGGGGCTGTGTCTTTCCCGCTGC